GAAATTGGTGGGTACAGCTCTAAGGTTGATGAAAAGCTTGACTCATCTGTTAGAAGAGATTGAACAAGTAAGGTTCTAATTTAATGAAAAAAGTTTATTTTTTATTAAAATATATTACGTGTTGATAATAAAAAAATCTTCCAAAAAGCTAATAATTAAGTAAATAATAATAATAAGCTTTCAAACACGAAAACTTCTTGCATAACTGTATAAAATATATAAAAAATTATAAAATTAATAAATTTTCAAAATTTATTCAGAATGTTTTTATTGACAATATTTAGTTTGAATTTTATAAACAAAGGAATAAATAAATTACAATTTTCATACTATTACCACTGAGAAAAATTTATTTAATTAAAAAATCCATTTGAATAATTTTTTTCATAAAAACATTAAAGTTTGTCTTTTCATATTATTCATATTACGCATTTTTTAAATTACTAGGGATTAAGAGACTTTGAAAGGGAAGCTACAACATATGCTGATGAGGCAGATATGCCTTCAGAAGAAAGGAATAGCCCTTTCCCAAATTCGTCAAGACCTTTGGCTTCTAACCAAGCACCTTTTTCTTCTAATCGAGAATTCTTTCACACTGAAAATCAAATTTCTACAATAAGATCTGCACTAGTAGATATCACTTCTACCCCAGCAAATTCTTCAAAACAAGGATTTTCTAAATTAGCACCATATGTGAATCAAGCGTCTTCTTCCTTTGGTCTATTTGCTGGTTATAGTAGTGATAGCAACTACGAAAAGGAAGAAATTGAAAAAAATGTAACTGTGGATAAAAAAATTATTGATGAATACTATAAATCGCAAGATGGCAACATAGTAAACAATTAATAAGAATTTGACAAGAAAATTATTTAACCCACTGAAAGTCGATGATGCATCTAGACACAAATAAAAAAATGCTAAAGACTTATTGAATATTCATAAAAAATGTTACTAGGGGGTTTTCGGGGTCGCTAATTACAAATTTGATATCAGATTTCCAAAAATCAAAATGTCGAATCAAAAAAATTGAACATTAATCGAATTCTCAGAAAGCTCGTTCCTTGAAGTGTTTTTTCACTTATAATTACGAATCTGACATTAGATTCTTAAAATTCAAAGTGGAGGATCAAACAAATTAAACACTAATCGAATTCTCTGAAAGCTCGTTACTAGGGTTGTTTTTTCGGTCACTGATTTCGGATCTGATATTAGATTTTCAAAATTCAAAATGACGGATCAAAAAAATTGAACACTAAACGAATTCTCTGAAATTCGTTTTACTAGGGCTTTTTTTGGGTCGTTGTTAACGAATCTGATATTAGATTCTTAAAATTCAAAATGTCGGATCAAGAAAATTGTAACTATTAATTTTTTTATATTGATCAAATTAAATAAAAGCTTAAAGGTTGTTTTGATTATTTAGGGTTTTTTGTTTATTTTTATTTCGTTATGGTGACTAAACATTTAAAATACATGTTATTAATAAACAGTGAACAAAAGGTTATTGAATAAACAACAAAAATTTAATTTAAACTACACTACCGTCAGAAATTGTCGGTACGGCTAACGTGCGAGAAGTAGAAATTTAGTGCTGACTTTAAAGCAAGATATTTTAAGTTAGAAAAAAGATATAGACTTCTAACTTAGATCGTTGGAAATCTGATAAAATTCTGCTTCTCAATGTATATCAAGAAATTTTTTTTCTTTTTTTTTGTATTTATACACCGAAAAGATTTCCAGAAAAAATTAGGCAATTTTCTACTTTCCTACTAATGTACTATTCTATATTTGGATCTACTTGGTACATAAATAATGTCAATGAATGTAATTACCCCCCGATTGAGATTGATAACATTACTATTCCTTTTGTTGATTCTGTTAGAAACTTAGGTGTTATCTATAGACCAACTCTTTCTTGGGACAAGCAAGTTGGTACAATTTGTAAAAACCCTTATGCTAGTTTATCGCAATTTAAAACAAATAGAAATGCCCTAACTACAGAAATAAAAATAAAGATTGTAACGTCCTTAATCTTTCCTCATTTCGATTACTGCTGTGCTGTCTACAATGATTTAACTGATGAATTAAATTATAAACTAGAAAAGCTACTCAATTCTTGTATTCGATTTATTTTCAACTTAAGTATGGATGCACATGTAACGCTGCCATATCGTCGAAAACTTGGATGGCGGAGTGTTCGTAAAAGACGGCACTGGTTTATTGGATGTTTAACACATGTCATTTTAAATACTAAAAAACCTTTATATCTTTATGAAAAATTTACTTTCAGGGATGAGATTACTACTTGAGCGTTGAGGTGTCCTAATATTCTCAGGGCTCCTCCTTGTAAAACTGAATAATATAAAAACTCTTTCATAATAACTGCGACATCTCTGTGGAACTCTCTTCCCAGTTCTATAATTTCAATTAAATGTACGTCGACTTTTAAAATTAAATTGCATAATTATTTGTTTGCGCTTGAAGATTAGGAATTTTTTCAAATTTATATACATATTTTATAATTTGAAATTGCGATAAATTTATTCAAAGTATGTTGCGAATAATATTATCTTTTATTTATGATTGTTATTATTTTTGTTTTTCTTATTTTCTGTATATTTGATTGTTGTTCTCATGGTTTTCCTGGGACAAAATAAAGAAATTCTATTTCTAATTCTAATGTTTTTTGACTCCCGGGATAACCAAGAATAATGCATGGAAAAATTTGACAATTTTACAACATAATCTTTAGGCTCTTAGCTTTAATTTTCATTTTTGAAACTTAAAAAATGTTTCGTGGTTCCTGAAATATGTTAAAAAAGGTCCAAGCATGTTTTCCTACAACTCAGCAGCGAGGCGGGGAAAAGTAATGATTGGCGGCTAAGTTGCAGGAAAACATGCTTAGACCTTTTTTAACATATTTCAGGAACCACAAAACATTTTTTAAGTTTCAAAATTGCAAATTAAAGCTAAGAGCCTAAAGATTATGGTGTAAAATTGTCAAAAACCCCTAATAACGAGCTTCCAGAGAATTCGATTAATGTTTAATTTCTTTGATCCGCCATTTTGAATTTTCAAAATCTAATATCAGATTCGTAATCAGCGACCCCAAAAACCCCCAAGTAACGAGCTTTCAGAGAATTCGATTAATGTTTAATTGTTTTGATCCACCATATTGGATCCACTATTTTGAATTTCGAAATTAACGACTCCAAAAACCCCCGAGTAATGAGCTTTGAGAGAATTCGATTATTGTTTAATAACAATTGTAGATGTTGCCTGGCGTGTAGCATATATACACGATCCAACTCTCACTTCCCCATGGTCTTATACACAGAGAAAGATAAAGGAGAGCCACTTGTTTTGGCAGTTGTGAGCTATTCTCACTCGTCAGGGAGCAGCAGTTTCGCCGCGAAAGAAGAACCGATTATCTTTTGAGGAGTAACCTTCAGCTTTTGTCGTTTCACCTTCAGGAAAGCTAACCCCCTTTCCTCAAAAAGCGTCCTCGTTCACCCTTCTAGAAGCTAACGGCTCACTTTCCCAGTGGTCAAACAGCTGACTCTCATTTAAGAGAACTACTTTACCGGCGGGTTAAGCTGTTCTCCTTTTTTTTCTCCGTGTAAGGCAGGTTTCCCACTACGTAGCCTTACTGATGAGTCCAGTAGTGGGGACTGGGACGAAACGACTAGTGGCTTCCAAGCTACGCTTATGGGTAACAACACAGTTGTTTCCATAAATTGTTTACAGTGCTGCCATCTATCGTTCACCGGTGTAACTTGTAACTTGCTGTCGTTAAACGATGTGTAATACACACAAAAAGTACACAATAAAAACATTAATTTTCATTATTTATTACCCTTTCAAATGCTTTAAAATAATAAATTAATAATTCTTCAATTATTAAAAAATCATATATAAAACATTTTTCATTGAATTATATAAAAATTTGACAGAATACCCTAATATAACAGTGCTTCATATTTTATCTTTTATTTCACTTATTTCGTATTAAATTGATACAAATATGGTCTTAAATTACTCATGAACACTTTTTCTACGAATCCCAATAAATACTTTATCATATTTTATTGTTTGAATAACATTTTTAGTGACCGTTGTGTTCCCAACTGTGTTTCAACGCTATTCCGTTTAAAACGCGTTGGACCCATCCGCTAGGTATAATCGATTTTCAATCTGTTTCATTTGCATGTTATATATATTTACTGAACTAATACTACTACACTTCAGTTGACATAAAATATAAATAATTATTAATTTTATTGAGAAATATTTGAAGGCTATACCATGACGATTCTGTGCTTTCCTATGCACATTGGATGCGTGAAAAACAAGAAAATGAATTCTGAAAGCAGTTTCCCTCTTAGTAATTCACTTAGGAGAGCTTATTGTTGCTTTTAACTAATGTTGAGTGAAGTTTCGATTTGATTTTTATGTAAAAAATGTTATTTTATAAAAAGGCTATACCATGACGCAAAAACGAGGGACAAGAATTAACACCAAAAAAATGAAATAAAATAAATTTTTTTTTCACAAATGCTTTGTTTTTCACAATTCTACTAACATAAACAATACGAAACTATCAATCGTTTTTATATTGATTACTATAGTTTACTAAAAATAACATTTTTTTATATAAAAGTGGTACTGGGGACACGTCATACCATGACGTTTTTGCACCTTAAAACAGCTTTTTAAGCTAAATTATAAACTTTTAAATAAAAACGACTGTGGGCTTTTGTTTGTAAACATAGAAATTAGAGAGAGAGAGAGAGAGAGTATTTCATACATTCCCTTAATATCACTGGGAGAATACTCCCAATATCACTAAGATATCATCATGAAGCGGACATTTTGATCTCCATTATATATCACAGGAATATTCCAAAAAATATTCCGATGATATTTATGTGACATACCGTGCTGTTTGAGCACGGTTACTTTTTTTAATTCAGGGAAATTTTACTTAAATAAACTACAAATTGTAAATCACAATTTTACTTTTATTAAACTGATACAAAAAAAATTTCTATAATTCTAAAATATTGTTATAGATCGGTTACAAAATTGTTACAGAATTAAAATTTTTACTTTATTTTGTTATCAAATTGTTACAAATTTGTTCTAGAATTGTTACAGATCATGTTACTGTTTTGTGCTCTCAGAGAGACGACATTTTTACTAACCACACTTTTATATTTAAAGATGAATCACTATACAGTGGAACAGGTAACCCAAAAAATGTATGAACAGTTTTACCACTTGGAAGTAAGGACGCAACAATTTCTGTAAATGACATATTGAAAACAGTTTTTTCTTTACTCACTAATAAGTGCCATAAGGTAGTGTACAAAAGTTTTTTTTTAAAACCTCCAGGACCATTTACATATAAGCATTTAGAACCATCAGTAGAAGAATCTTCCACTGCATTTAATATAAAATCAACAATTCCTTTTTGATTTAAATTTAATTTGGCATAAGTTCCTTCTAGTAATTTTATACAATATGAAATATTTATATTACCTACCTTTGTAACACCATTTTCATCATCAATATCTAATAATCCTTCAAACTTAATTAAAGAAAATCTTTCTATAAATAACATTATTTTTATATTGCTTCCTCTCCTCTCGGAAGGGGGAAGCTCTGTATTGGTAACGATTTTTTTAAAATGGGTTGTATAATTTTTATCCAGAATGTATACATTTTAAGTTTTAAACAAATGTCCAGATGTATTTGTGTGTATGTCACAAAATCTTATGTACAAATTATCTCCAACACGCTTTGATGGATTGTCCTTAAATTTTGTTGGCTTATTGCAGTCATCAATCTGAATCAATCAATATCTGAAATCAATTTTTTATAAACAAATTAAGTTTTTTTTAAATTTGTGTTACGAACCGAAAAATATTAATTATAAAAATTAATTATCCTTTGTGTCCTGGAGGCACCAAGCTGCCGAAATTAAAAGAAAATTCCGTTTATTTTAAGGGATCGTGTATCCTATTTAAAAAGAAACTGCCAAGTTACGTTATTAGAGAATAAATTAAAGGGATAAAACACAATAAAACAATTAAGACCCTTTAATACATTTATTTTATAAAAATCTCAATTTCAAAACATAAAAAAAACAACAAGATGAAAAGAAGGAACGATACATGTTTTAAAAACTTACGCTACTGCTTAAATTACCGTCGCAAGCTAACGAGGGCGAAGCGTCGAGCTGATATCCGACGGGTGGAAAAATGCACACACTTATCAAAGCTTATCTTAACTTATCGTTAACGTATTCACAACACTTTTATTTGTTAATTTTTTGCAATTTGAACTGGGAACATTGCCGCAACGTATTGAACGCGGTTGCAATGTTCGATAACATACTTGTAATATTTACAGTATTAAAATCAAAAATTTTCAATTAACTATATAGAGATAATTTTTCATTTTAAATGTTATATTTGTTAAAGATGAATTTTGAAAATTAGAAAATTATTCAATATCAATCAAAGATTGATATTTTCTAAAACTCTAAAAGAACTTGGTACTTTAACATACGTTGCCCTTCGGACAAATTATATTGTAATAGGTAGTGGATCCCTTCCTTACCTCACTATTATTCAGTGAGTTGGTTGAGATCCCATATTAATCAGAACAATTGGTTAGGAATATTTGAAATAAAAGATCAAACAAATATTTAATTAGTTGTATATAAATATATATTGTGTAACAACCTAAATAATACAATATTACAGTATTCTGTATTCTAATACAATTTACGTGTGAATGAATGTATGTGTAAGAATGTTGTGTGTGTAATATGCTAAGAGTCTGTGGACTCTTACGTATATTTACCTCCGGAATTCCTCAGAATGATATCCTTCAAAATAATCGACGTATCTCAATTTAAGTATTAAATTAATTCTTCAATTTATTATAGCTATATTATATTCTCTTTTTCTCAAACAATTATTACAACAATCTCAAACTCAGTATAAGCTATAAACTTTATTTCTCATTTACTATTTAATTTTCAATCTCAATTTCAAAACTAAGTGATTCTCAAAAACTCATTTGTATATCCTTTAAATCAAATTCAAAATTAAATTCTCTTCTTTCAAAACTACAATTATTCACTCTTTAAAATACTCAAAATTTAATACTCTTTAAATAATCTCACTTCAAAAATCACAACTCGAATTGAAACTCAGTAATAAACTCAAAACGGGAACAACCTCGAAACTGAGCTCTCTCTCAATCTCCCAAACAATTACTACCTCGACACTCCTTGTGTCTACTGGTTTTATTGAGCTGATTTTTGGTGGGAAAAAGTATGTTTTATTTAGTAATTTTATTGTTGTCAATGTTCTTTATTGCAACCTTGCAATATTGGGGTAGTATTCCAGCTCATTTTGTACTGACATACTTTGGATGCAGCAATCTTTATTGCGCCATCCTTTGTTTCTTGAATTAATTTAGTTCACTTAGTTTCTCAATTTTAGCATGAATTTTAAATAGGTCTTCTTTACAATTTAGGTTATTAATTGAAAGTTAATATTTAATATATAATTATTTGGACATCTCTAAGAGATTCTAAAGGCATTTCTTATAATGTTTATAAAGTGTTATTTGTTTGAGTTGCATATTGTGTCCTCTTTTCAAGTATTGTATTAATGAATTATTAATAATGTTAATAATTTATTAATAAGAAGTTACGAAATTCATACGTAACAAATACCCCCCTTCTAAGCGCTGTCGTCCCTTGACAGTCTATTATAATAGTTGTTTCGAAAAAAGTTACATAAATTCCTCTTGATTACATTGTTTTTTGTTGTTTTGGTCTTGTGTTGTTTCTTGGATGTTGCTGGTGTTGTATGTTTCTTTTTTCGGTATTATGTTTTCCAATCTTAGTTTTTCTGTAAATAAATTGGTTAAGATTTGGAATTCTCTATTAATTACTGTTCTCAAATTAGAACCGTAGTAAAAGTAGAGAGTTCCAAGATTTTGAAAAAAGCAAAATAATATATGAAAAAAATTAAGTGTGTAAAAACAATAATAAAAAAATGTTTAATTTTTGTAGTTGTATATGTCTGAGACAAATTTGTTTTTTTAATTTTAAGTATAAATTTCTAACATTTCTAAACCTCAATTTGAAAAAAAATACTGGGATAAAAAAATACACAAGAAAATTTATTTTTATGTGAAATACCTAAAAAAAATGTATAAATGTGGTATTTTATACCCCCCTTCTTATTGACTGTCGTCCCTTGACAGTCTATATGATATAGGATTAATATTGGGGATTTCGTTTGTGTAGAAGCTTTATTTATAAGAAGTATTTTTTTAACTTATTAGCCACCCAATAGACTATATATGTATTGCATGCGCCTTTCCTCTATCTATTATATTTAAAATATGATTAAATTATTACACCTGTTTTAGTTAATGAATTTAACATTTTTTTCAATTTATGGTAAAAATATTTGTTTTTTCTTTTTTTTTTTAAATTTATTTATATATATTATTTGCAAAGTATGTTTCTATATAAAAAAAATCATATTTATTCCTTTATAAGTCTATATATATTATAAGGTGTCATGTTGTATTAATTTTTGTAATTCACATTTCCCCAAATACAAATGACTAATTTATATTTTAGCATGCATGTTTACCTCATTTGATAATAAATTATTGCTTTATTTATTAATGTTTCGCGTTCCTTACAATAGTTGCTACTCTTTTTTAACAAAAATTTTCTTATAAAAATCATCTTCCCTTTTTTTACTATGTCTCATAATAATAATTTGGATTATTCTTCCTACGCGCTTGCCATGGAACTCGCAATTAGTGGCGTAGATTCTGTTGTTTCTTTTTTGGTTTGGAAACGGTTCCAATTGGAAAAGTTGCAGTTAGATAAAGTGTTTGGAGGTTGCCGCGGGTAAGTTTATTTTATTGTTTTTATTTTCCTACTCAATTTACTATTATCATATATTTTTTTATTATTATTCTTATATATATTTTTTCGAGAAAGGAGAAAAAAAAATTTACTCTCTATTTCTTCTCTTTTTTTTAGTGTACAAATTATGATATTATGTATACAAACGATTTCATTTACTTTTTTGTCAGTCCTTATTCAAATTTACCAGCCTACCCTCAGGAGTACGGTCCCCGTTTATTAGACCCGGCTCTTGAGATCGTTTTCCTCCAGGTCTATGGATCAGAGTGGGAAGAGATTTCATTCGTCAAGAGTAGGTGGGAAGCGGTGAGTTTGTTACTAAATTTTTCTTATTTTGTTATTAGATATTTCATTTGCTTTAAGCAAAAATAACATTTTTAATATTATTTTTTGTATTTTTTTTTTAAGTTATAATAATAAAAAAAATTTACCCTCCCCTTTTCTTTTTTTAGCGTTGGGCTGTTCGGATGTCAGCGGTTTGGCATGAATGTTAAATTGGGCGTTTTTTCCTTTTCTATTATGTTAAGAATTATTATTTATATGTATTATTATTCATTTCTCTTTTTAGAAAAAAAAAATAATTTTTTTTGTGAGAGATATTATGACACTACTCATTCCAACATCACCCTTACACATCACATTGTACACATGTAGCGTGAATGACGTATGTTTTTATTAAATAAATGTATATACTATGTTACCTTAGAAAAAAACCGTTTTATTACATTCATTGTATCCTTCCTTCTAGACTTTTTTTTTGTAAAATTTTAATTTTACCGTAATTAAATGAGAAAGTGTCCTGTTTTTATTTATTTTTTTTGTATTTATTATATGTAATTTTTCTTAGACACCTCCCTCTTTTTTTTTTAAATGATAGTAAATTTTAGTTTCTTAACCCATTAACGACCGCCAAGACGAAAAATTTACCTTTACTTAGCAGCTGTTATTTTATATGAAAAAATAATTTAAAAAATTCAGGATAGCCCATTTCTAACGTAAAATTTATCGCTCTTTTCGATTCTGAAGTCCAAATTTAATTATAGTTAAATCCTTAATATTTATAACAACTTTATTGCAAAAAAACATGATTTTCTGCAAAAAAATTTTTATTCAAAAAATATTTTGACATGGAAAACGACAGTTAATTTGCTCCGGAACCCAAAATATCGCGTCCTCGAATACCCAGCTACAAAACTGTATAGTTGCGAATTTCAAAATTTAAGATGGCGGACGACAAAATGGCGATTTTCCACTAAAAAAGATTTAAAAAATACTATTTTGCAAAAAATAATATATTCATGAATTATTTTTATTTCTGCACCACATACTTATGTTTTTTGGGTCACTAAACACGAATACGGTATAAGTTTTCAAAAATTCAAAATGGCGGATTCAATATGGAGGACAAGTTTTTCAAAAACTCAATGGATTTATCTGAAATTTGTTACTCGGGGGTTTTTGGGGTCGCCGGTTACGAATCTGAAGTTACTTTACAAAAATTCAAAATGGCGAATCCAATATGGCTGACAATTTTTTCAAAAACTCAATGGATTTTTCTGAAATTTGTTACTCGGGGGTTTTTGGGGTCGCCGGTTACGAATCTGAAGTTACTTTTTAGTAATTCAACATGGCGGATCCGAAAAAGCCTACAAATTTTAACCCTGCAAAAAGTCCTTTAAAGTACGCGTCTCTTTAGAAATTTTTATAAAAAATGTTAAACAATTTGATTATTTCAGTACTCCTTTGGCGGTAGAAATGGTGAAATTTAATGGTCACACAGTAATAAAATAGTAGATCAGTAATAAAAAATGTGTTCGATTTCAATATAAAGTGAAATAATTCGAAATCAACGACCCCAAATACTCAATATGTATTGATTTTCAAGCAAATTCG